TATATATATATATATATATATGACACTCTTCCAGTATGAGACAGAAACTGTAACTTAATTAGCGCAATTAGATTTTATTTTCACCTAATTGCAACTGTCCACATATATTTCAGTATTGCTATATATGTATAAGTCATTAACAAAATAGATATCACATAGCTTTAAAATCTGAATATCAAAGCAGTACTGTATAAATCATGAATCAAACAACAGTCAATTACCTGATTAACCATCCCTATTAAACACACAGGCACTCAAGGCTTAGCATAGTCACCGTGAGGGGGATGACTAATATCCTAAATATAACACATGAAAATTGTGTTGTAGATATCACATACTTCAATAGCAAAGAGAGAAACAGACGTTTCTCTTTACACGTTCTGGAATGGGAAGCACCGTGGCTAACTTGAGCCGAAGGGATACTGCACTCATCTGCGAGCGCCTTGGGCAAAATATGCGCAGATGTCGTCTCCTGGGGCGTCATGCTATACGAAATAACGGTGTCGTGGACTTACATAGAGACAATTGATGTACATGAATACAGAGGGACAGAACGATAAAAGTTGGTGTAACAACGAAATCTGAACAAGGAGGCCAGGATTTCGGGAAGGAAAATGTTACGAAATGGACAATTATGCATAATACTTGCAAGAATAATCTGGTTGAAGGGAGGGGAAGAAAATACAAAAATATTAACAACACTACGATGTGTGAAACAATATATATGAAAGAGCGAAAGTAGATGCCAAACTGGAAAATGATGTTTGACTCGGGAAAAATAAATGAATTGAATCCGTCTTTGTACAAATAGGAACAGCAATCATAGTCGCCGAACGCGGATCGAATGCCTTGTCGTGGTGGGCGAACCCGTAACTTGCCATGACAACCAAAAGGCTCTCACTTCCTGTAGGCGAAGATGAAGTAGACGACGAGACATGCCCAGGGCGTGAGGGCGGCAAGGGTTAGGAGGACGACCTTGGTTCTGGGCCACCAGGGGGCGTTGCGGGGGAGGAGGCGCTGCCACTTGGACGCCTTGCTGACGCCGCAGCGACACACGCCGCCGGTCTCCGCGCACACACACAGCCCCTCGTACCTGCAGAAACAGCCAAGGCGTTACCGTGGGAATGCGCAGCTGCATTCTGAATATAAGCAATAAGGAACAATCAAAGCAGAATGGAGTAAAGTTATCGACATCATAGCTTTACATCGACAATACGGTAATTATATGGTAACAGATCAGCTGGACATACCTTCTAGCTGCCCATGGCTTCGTTTGCTTGCGAGGCGAGGGATGGTGATGGTGGGCGTGGGCGAGTGTGTTGGGCGTGAGAACAACAGTGGGCTGCCCATCATACAGATGTTGACAGGATTTACATACCTGTACCTGACAAAGACAGTTCGAATCATTATCACCTCTTGCTACCAATACCGTAGAACTATGATGATATAATAATAATAATATGACAATAGTATATAATGATAATAGTAATAATAATAATGATAATAATAACAATAATAATAATAACAATAATAATAATAACAACACCAATAACAATAATAGCAACAACAATAACAATAATAGCAACAACAATAACAATACTAGCAACAACAATAATATCAATAATAACAATAATATTAATAACAATAATAATGATAATAATAATAATATTAATAATTACAATAATAATAATATTAATATTGATGATGATGATGATGATGATGATAAAATAATAATAACTATAACAATACTAATAATAACTATAACAGTAATAATGATAACAATGATAATGATAATGGTGATGACGATAATAATAATGATGACAAAAGTAATAATAATGATAACAACGATAATAATAATGATGATGATAATAGTAATAATAATGATAACAATGATAATAATAATAATGATGATAATAGTAATAATAATGATAATGATAATAATAATGATGATGATAATGATAATAATGATGATGATAATGATAATAATGATGATCATGATAATAATAATGATAATAATAATAATAATGATAATAATAATAATAATAATAATAATAATAATAATAATAATAATAATAATAATAATAATAATAATAATAGTAATAATAACAATAATAATAGTAATAATAATGATAACAATAACAATGATAACAATAACAATGATAACAATAACAATGATAACAATAACAATAATAGCAACAATAATAATGATAACAATGATGATGATAGTAATAATAATAATAATAATAATAATAATAATAATAATAATAATAATAATAATAATAATAATAATAATAATAATAGTAACAACAATAATTATCATCATATTAATTATAATGATAGTAATAATAGCAATAATAATAATGATGATTATAATAACACTAGTAATAATGGATTAAGGAATAAGGCCTTATACTGAGCCTTGTCAAAAATAACAAAAAATCGTAGTCCACCACATTTCTCTTCCACAAGCAACCTGGATTTATTTCCTTGACCTTTTGTCTAGCCCCCCCCCCCCTCTTCTGACCTGACCTCCCCAGTCTCTAGCAGTGTTAATGGTAATAAGTACTTATTAAAATTATCAGTATAATGGATAAATTTTCTGCACTCCCTTCCTTGTTTTCGGCTACAAATGTGAAGTATGCAAACGTGTGTGTGATTTTAATCTGATTTTAGTAATGTGTTATTACTATTATTTTTATATTTTAACTATTATTATTACCATCGTCTGTACTATTAGTGTTGTAGTGTTTATTACCATAATCATTATCATCTTTATTATTCTGGCGCTTATTATAATGATTATTAGCATTAGCATTATTGTGATGATTTTTATTTTGATTATCATCATCATCATTACTATTAGTAGTAATAGCAGTAGTATAACAGTAACTACACTGTTAGTAATGGAATTAATTAAAAGAGCAGTGAGAATAATAACTATCATTTCTATGATAATATCAAAAGTTTTTATGAGAATTTGACAGAAAAATGAAGTACTGTAAAGCACTCGTATGTTTTTGTAAACCTAAGGAAATCCTTTGAGCAAGTTCGGTTTGTTGATCCATACGCACATGCGAAACAGTGATAGGACAAAGAGATAACTATATCAATCATGAAAATAACACAATCTCATGCTCACCCCTTCGCAGTCAACGTGTGTTAAGTAGCCCATCTTAATAACGATGATAAACAGACGCGAACAATCCCTCTATCGCTACCAACCTTCGCCCACAAACTGCTTTGGTAAACTGCCGTCTTTGGTTGTCTCGCCCCCCCTTAGTCCTCACACCCCCCCTCCCCATATGTGACCTGACCTCCCTTGTTCATCTGGCTTACAAAAAGGAATGAGGTCAGGTAAACTTGTTCCTTCACATAGGAAGAGTGTTGCGTTAATGGTTATAGTAGTATGTACATTATATTATGATATTATCTGTTCATTTACTTGCATAACCAACATCAGTGTGATAAACATATTATGGTAGAGAGACTACCACTCAAAAACAAAATATAAACTGCTATTCATTACGATTATCGTCATTATTATTATCCTTTTCATTATTAATTTATCATCTTAATTATTAATGATATCATTATTATTATTATTATTATTATCATCATCAATATTACTATTATCCTTTTCATTACCAATATCAGAATTATCATCATTGTCAGTATTAATATTTGTATCCTCATAATTATCAGTATTTACTTTATTATCATTCTCATTACCATTATTATTATTATCATTATATTTAACTTGCTTATCATTATTACTCTCACCATCATCATCATTAATGTAATAATCATTATCATAATTATTACTATTATTATTATTTTCATTATTATTATTATTATCATTATCATATTATTATTATTATTATTAGTAGTAGTAGTAGTAGTAGTATCATCATCATTATCATTATTGTTATTATCATTATCATTAGTCGTAATAGAAGCAGTGGTAGTTGCATTACTATTATTATTATTATTATTATTACTATTATTATTATTATTATTATTACTATTATTATTATTATTATTATTACTATTATTATTATTATTATTATTACTATTATTATTATTATTATTATTACTATTATTATTATTATTATTATTATTGTTGTTGTTGTTATTATTATTATTACTATTATCATCATGATCATTATCATTATCATCATTATCATTACATATATTATCATCATCATTATAATAATTATCATTATCATCAGCAGCAGCACTATCCTTATTATCATTTTCAATATCATCATTACGATTACAATTATCACTATCACCATCATCATCATCATCACCACCATCATCATTACTGAAGCGAACTAATGGCTGCCGAGAAGGGCATGGGACGTGGCTAAAGGAGTGAATGTAGTTCGATGCATTATGTGATATGCATTTCTTATGAATGGCTATAAGGGAAGATTGGAAATCACTGAATTTTCAAAAGCAATATTAGCAGTACTAGTAGTTGTAGCAGCAAAGTAGTACTAGTAGTAGTATCGTAATCATCAACATTGCAGTCGTCACCGTCATAATTATTGTTTTACTAATGCTTCCTTACTATTGCTATTATAGTCACTAATTCATTATGCTGTAAATCTACAAATAATGAATATAATATTGCACTTCAACTCAATCAATGCCTGGTATTCAAAGAGTGGTAGTTAATCGCAAATGAACGCTATACGTACCACTTCTGCGTCTCTTGCATTTGGTGCTGAGGGAGGATTGCCTTGTTTTGTACAGTTTCCCCTTCCATCATTGCCTATTGAGGCCACGTTTTCTTTGGAGCTATCCTCGTTCTCTCTTGTACTGGGGAGACTCGCATTTCCCACCACACTATCAGTTATTTGCAAATCATTGTCTAGACCAGAGTTGTTAGAAATTACGTATACCATCATTCATATGTGTATATTTATAAATTTATCTTAAAACATGGTATTCCCAAAACTTTTCAATAAAAAATGCACACCAACAGTTCACTTTGACAAGCACTTGCCCTTTCTCCTTTCTAAAATCAATTTACTTTATTTCTAAACCATATCATATGCAAACAACGTGAAGAAAACTGCCATCCAGACTGCGAAGCAAAATCCCACAGCAAGTAGGATCCAGCCTTTCGAACTTGTCCACGAGAGCACCTTAATCTGTGAGAGGAAGAGCGAAATGAACCATTTTTATACTTTCCTGGCCTAAAATGTTTATGTAGTAATCTCGTGTTAGACATCTTTTGCCTTTTACTGTGTGGACCCTGAAATTACCAGAGTTCGTCTTTATAAGAAATGACATGAAACATTCCAGACATGAGCAAATTCTAAGGAAAGGAAAAATAGAGGAACTCCATAAGAAAAAATTCGCCCCCTAAAGTTATTGAAAAGTATCATTTGTCCATGAAGAAAGATCACCTCTGATCAACTAAAAGTGCATCTGCGTTTACTGGCATTATCAAGTGATCGTCAAAGCCCCGCGACAACTGGGCACATCCTTTATAAATACAAGGTCTGACGGACATCCTTCGTTGAGGACAATTAATCACTTCTGTGCATTTGTAGCCGATCCTCGACTACTTTTCTTTATTTTTCATTTTCATTGACTGGCCATTAAAACACATTGCAATGCAGAATAAATCGTATAGGTTTCTGCTGAGTGATATTGAACTGTAAGATATTCTCTTCAAAAAAAATCTGAGGTTTAAGACTACATATGTGGGCGTTTCTGGCATTGCTATGGTAGCAGGACATCTGTTATATTAATCAGAACCTAAAACTAAAGCATAAACCACTTGTCTCAAATCAAACCTAAAAGCAATAAAGCTGGACATTGTGAAAAATAAATATTGGTAATGTCAGTGAATATGAATAAAAACAGGCCAGCTTGACATGTGCGCCAGGATTAGAATGAAGCCAGTTTCCATTAATCCTGGAACCATTCTGCGTATAATTGGAGAATCTGGAAACAGCTTGAAATCCTAACTGTTAACAACAGTTCTCAGGATCACGACTAATAATAGAGAAAACTTAATATTACGCTGTTTGGCTTTTATTGACTGTTTAAACAAACGAATGCAATGCAACATGAACAGAATTTTCTCCACTAAGTGATTCAGACTGAACATCACAAACATGGACGTAAAAAGATACAAGCAGACAGAAGGAACTGCATGCATAGATTAATGACTAGTGAGTAATTCGAAATATCGAGAGAACAAGAAAAGAAATAAAATGTGGTGTGACTGTAAAATAACTCATTGCGATAGCTACTAAGGCTCTACTAGAAGCAAGTGGGCCGACCTGAGGCTTGGCTTCCTTTGGTTCCTTGCAGGAGCAGTTCCTCTGGCTGTCTTCGCAGGGGCAGGCGGGCACGATCTGGCGGAGGAAGCATCGGGAGATTACTCTGCCGGTGAACACGAGGAGGAAAGGCGAAGTATTTGAACATCAATCTATTTAACAAAAATAATCATACGCGAACACGCCCGCACGTCGGCGCGCACGCACCGACATACTGACACATACACACACCACTCACTCACTTGCTCGTTCACACACATACCCCCACAGGTCTTACACACACACACACACACACACACGCACATATATATATATATGTGTGTGCGTGTAGTGTGTGTATGTATATATATATATATA